AACATAAGAATAACAAATTACTAAATTTGCCCTCCTTACTTGAATTATTTTTTAAAAAATTTTGATTTCAGGGAAATGAAAACCCACAAATGTCATATACAATTTATGTATCTCCCCAAATGACATTTGGGTTTCATTTCGTGTAAAAGGCCCAATTCACACAGAACAGTCGTCTGACAGAGACGAGGCGCGGACTTTTGTCCTTTCCGCGTCTCTCCTATGTAAAAAAATGGTCCAATGTTCACAGAAGTGACGTGGTGCGGACGGTCACCCTTCCGCCTTCGCTCCATCTCTTTGGCGTTTGTCGTGGCGTACTAGGAGGAGGGACACGCCAGTTCCTCGCCACGTCATTCTCCATGTTCATCCTCAAAAATACGGAATGATGTTGACACCAACATACAGTTTTGCGAAGAAGATGTTTTTTTGATTTCAATCGTGCTGATTATTGTAACAGGAGTGTCCAAGACCAGGCTTGACAAATCCAACATATCTTCATCATCTTCGTCACTACTTGAAAAAGCCATGTTATAGCCCCTCTATGTGCCTTGCATACGGCACGCTTCGGTGACGTCCGTGCCATGCCAAAGCCTCGTCTCTGCCAGATGTCCGTTCTGTGTGAATTGGGCCCAAGAAGTGCGATTTCTGTGGCACGAGCGTAGCGTGACTCTACAAAGAAGAGTGCGTTATGGAATGTGTTAACGTGTATATACAAGAATTTCTCAATTTTTTATGTTATCTGGTATGTCTACCGTCTCTTCAGTGGAAAAGGCGGCAAAAAATGTCCATTATATAATGTTACCGAATGATACCTATGATAATACCTATATGTTTATTATCAAATGAACATTTTACTTGGTTACAAACAGTAAGATGTATCGACATCCGCAGCAATTCTTATGTGTTCTTATGTGGAAATATTTGAAAACTAATGTGATTTTATGAAACACAATTGGCATACAGTAATGTATGTAACCATCCAAAATCGTTGTCATTTTGAGAAAAAAATTTCAATGCCGATATCATCGATATCTATCCAGTTTAAACTGGTTGATTTTCTGATAATTGACAATGGTTGTATAAACCGGTTGTGTGAAAGATACGGCCTGCGGGCCGCATCCGGCCCCCGTGCCGTATCCCTACGGTCTGCGTTCGCAATGTGTCACAGAAAGAAGCGCGTGCCTAGAGAAGCGAGTGCTTGTTAGTAAGGTACCTATTTAGTTCTAGTAAACAACTCAATCATGACAGTAACCCCATCTTGGAGCAACGAGCGGAAATACCCTATTATTTTTGATGAAAACAATTGAATCTTCCACGCGCTTCGAGTCAGAACTGGAACCTTCCTCATCGATATGAATGAGCGCGTCGGCACGACGTGAGTCTATTGAGTCGAGTAATCGAAGCGATACGGTCGGAGAAGGATTCTAGTGATTGCAAAGGTATTGTTGTAAATCATGGCCGAAAGGAAATAACGCCGGCCGCCACTGGTAACCATGAACCGAACGTGACGTAGCTGAGAGCTTGGGAATGTCCAATATTCCCTGTCGCTCAAGAAGCAGCAAAGAACTTCGGCGAAATTGTACGATGTTCCATTGTGATATTTAAACGCTGGCGCTGGCTGCAAGCGTATTCAGTTAGTCAAGTAGACTGTGAAGTGGACGTAACAGTGCGGTACGCGAAGTGATCTAAGAAGGCGATAGACATTAAAATAATAGTTGAATTTTCAGTTGAAGTGTTTGTTGTATTTAAAGTGAAATAAAGTTAAGTTTGAGTATTCAGTATAGTCAATTATTGGTGAACCCACGGTAAAAACATAACACTATTGTGCATTTATTTGTGTCGTGCGCGTGCGATTTGAATAAATGTTATGTCGAGTTTCACAATTGTTGCCATTTTGGCAAAATGTCACAAAAATGGGAAATTGATAGTGAGTGCTGAGTTTTTCAGCCTGGATGTGAAATTGCATTTTTTTCATAGAATGGAAAGGTATAAACCACTGTGTTTAATTTGCAATCAAACAGTTACTGTTTGTAAGGAGTTCAAGTTGGAGAGACACTGAAACGAATTATAAATCAAAATTTGATCGTTCTACTATACTATAGTTACACTATACTCTGTTATAATAAAAATCATGTGTCACTCACACAAAAAGCATACCGAAACTGTATAATGAATTCAAATAATGAAGTTAGAAATTCTATTGAGCTGGGCGCAGGTCGCTTTATTGCTTTTTGTGGTTATTTTCCACATATGTACTATGAAATGTAGCCTCAATAATTGCTAATACAATTTGGTATGCAAAGTCAAATTGCTCTTGGAATTGTAATCGAAGCTTAACGCATAGAAACCCGGAAGTGCTCGGAATACTGATGCAACGGTAAAATTTTCATATTGTTAATTGTTACCAACTTCAATTTCCCGAATCTGGAGCGAATCGTCATTATCCTCCATATTGACCCGGAGACCATCAAGAACATTTCAATAATAGATATGAAAAGAAATCAATAGTTGAGAGGTATTCGACATAATATTCGTATATCGGCTTCTTCATGTATTTCATATGACATCGTTTCATATAATGTATTCACGAACATTATTTCATCAGTTCCATTGTACTCTTTGAAAAACCTCATAATTCTAAATTTGTTAAAAAAGTACCTTCTGATAAATGTCACAATGAATAGAAACGCACAAAAGTCAGTATAGAACTATCCAAGTTTTATCAAAGGTTACATCCCAAGTGCACCAAGTTTAGATAATCGGCCAAAATGTATGTAAATACATTGTTGTAGAAATCTTGATGATCAAGCGACCGTGTGCAGCAGTGTTTTGTTTTGCATTAACTATGTCAAAGGTATCGAATAAACAATCATATACGTTATCTTCTGATGCTGTTGGTTGGTGTTTCTTAAATCGGCCAAAGTGTATGTAAATATATAGTTGTAGAAATCTTGATGATCAAACGACCGTGTGCAGCAGTGTTTTGTTTTGCATTAGGTAACTATGTCAAAGGTATCGAATAAACAATCATATACGTTATCTTCTGATGCTGTTGGTTGGTGTTTCTTATTCACATAACTTGTTTTCATTTGATTTACTTCTTTTTTTATCATTCGTTTGTTTCACATAAAGAGGTGAACTATAAAGTTTCGAAAAAGACGGGAGCATCGTATAAAACCCTCCTATTTCACGAAACTCGCAACAAATATTATTTATCGAATGAAAAATGTTTTCTTTCTCAGAAGAGGATCGCAGACGCTCGTTTTTATCTTTGAGCAGCAAGTACCTTAGGGTATATTTTTAAATTTCGATTATTCTGTCTAAACAAACACGCAATAAATTTCCATTTTCGCATGAGCTGAGAATTTAAAGTAGGAGGTATTTAGGAAAAGGTATTGGATATATTTATTTTTGATTCGATATTAGTAAAACATAAGAAAACTCGAATATACAGGTATTTAAATAATAATTTGAGTTGTATACAATTGATATTATCGGTTTTCATACACGATTTCATATTTATTTAAGCTGAAGGACACATCAACTAGAAAATGTTAAATATCACACATCTTGACAAACTTCCATTACATATTTTCGTTCTTTTCAGGTGGAGAAAAGTATGTGATGGGCATCGCGAATTTATTCACGAATCTGTAATAGTTACTTGTAAGCCACACCAAGAAACTGATGTAAATACTAAATTATAGGTTTGAAAAGTTACCTTTATTTTCGCCAATATCTTCTACAAGAAACGACAGAGTAAATGGTTGTCGAACTCATGTGTATGACGAAGACCCCATAAGAAGTCATTCATTAGAGCTGTTGAAACTAACAAATATTTCAAAATAAAAATCCATCACGAGACATTCAGTGGGTTGGATACATCAACAACACGAGTCAGGAGCAATTCAATAAATGAAATAATAGTATACGAATGAATAATGTAGCTATTTGTTGGGAGCTGAATTATATGTTTTTTATTACTTAATTAAAAGTTATATGTGCAGTGTGAATTAAAAAAAAAGGATAATACAGTGTAAGTTCACCAAAAAATCAGTACAAATCAAAGCAGTACTACTAGAGACATTATGGTACCTACTTGGGTCGAAAAACTCTCTATTTATATTGTCAAATAGGCCATAAATAAATAGTATATTATGCAACGATCATGTAATGATGGTTATTAAGACACGAGCATTAACCGGGATACGAAACGAGCCGAAGGCGAGTTTTGTATGGTATATGCGAGTGTATTAATAACCATTACATGAGAGTTGCATATGCTATTTTTTCTAAACCCGATAAATAATGAAAAACTATAAATATTATATTTGTATTGAACACATTTACAGTAATTAACTCATATTTTTTTAAAAAAACACAAACTTAATGGTATTATCATGGATATATGAAAACTATGAAGATTCTAATTATATTTATATTGAATATAACAGCTGTAATTAATCTGATCTTTTAAAAATATTGGAGTCGATGGTATTCCTTCTATATCGCTGTTTTCAGACATTTTGATAATATAGGTAGGTAATATGAAAACTGATTTTGACAAATAAAGCAATTAGTTACTTAGGTTAGAATCTAGGACAAACAAAGGAACAGGATTCTTGATTGAAAAATTATGGGTTTCTATTGGTTGATAATCTGTATCGTTATGAAAAATCTGTATCATAATGGATATCATTATGAAACGGATTATGGTCATATAAGTGTATTGTTAGAGTACGGGTGTAGAAAAAATACGTTATTCTCATTCACGCTATAACCTTGTTGTACATATATGTCGGCAAAGTTGTCCCAATTTTTATAAAGCAGGATCGAGAAAAACTGGAAAACTATAGGCCAATTACGATAAGTTCGGGTTTTTCGAAGATTTTTGAGTACTCTCATTCAGATAGGTTACTGAAACACCTAATTCTCAGACAAACAACATGGTTTTCCCACAAACAAATCCACAAACACTGCAATAATTTCATTTATCGAAACAGGTTCAATGCTTCTGGAATCAGGAGAATGCCCTGTGGGCATATTCTGCGACCTCAGCAGGGCTTTCGACTGTGTCAATCAATATCAACTCATGTCAAAGGTTTATTCGTATGGTATACGGGGTGTTGCCTATGACTGGATTTTATCTGTTTAAAAAATATGTTTTTCCGTTAACCAGCTGTCGCACCCCTACGAATGGCAACCCTCAGACGTCGAAATTTGTGCGAGCTAAGATCTAACGAGGTCTTACCTTTTAACGTGTGATTTTTAACACGGGTTGGATGATAAAAAATCTGTTCAGAATCTATTTTTCCGTTAGTCAGCTGTCGCCCCCATACGAACGACAACTCTCAGAAGTTGAGAAACTTGTGCGAGCTAAGGACTAACGAGGTCTTACCTTTTAACATGTGATTCCTAGCAAGTGAAGAATAGACAGCAGTTTGTTACCTTGAAATATCGTAGTGAGTCTACTACTACTACCTTTGATTCTGAGCGCTTGGACTTCACAATGGGTGTACCACAAAGATCTGCACTAGGTGCAATATTATTCCTTCTTCATATAAATGAAATCGATAACTTCATCACAGATCCATTCATAACAATGTACGCTGATGACACATCCTTGGTGGTGTCCAGTAATGTGGATCATCTTCTGTTTGAGAAGTGTGAAAGTACTCTGAAGTCAGTTGTGAACTGGTGTGGAAACAATTCATTGTACCTCAATGCTAAAAAAACTCAGTTGGTGAGATTCCACAATCGTCAAAGACAGTGCAAAAAAGTACAAATTCAAATAAATGATCAAACACTCAATAGTTCAAATGATACAGCATTCCTGGGGATAACCATTGATGCATGTCTGACCTGCACCCTCGTGATGAATTGAATTCATTGTATTACCTTTTCAGAAACCTCAGAAGCATTTTGACAGAACAACAACTAGTATCATTATATCAAGCGCAAGTTGCGTCAAGGTTGCGATATAGCATACGTATGTGGGGTAACTACACTAGCTCCAGATGTGTTGATTGTACAGATAAGAAATATTCGAATAGTGGCAGGAGTTCCTAGTACATTTTTTGTAGGAATATATTTCAAAAATTTTGAATTTCAACAAATAAACTGTCAATCTATATTTTTGAAAACAAGAATAGATTTCCTTCAAATGAAAGTATTCAGAGTGTGAACACTAGACAAGAACGCGACCTCCATGTTCTGTTATATCAATATAAAACAACATTAAATTGTCCATCAATGGTAGGTCTTAATATTTTCAGTTAGCTCCCTAGGTTTTGAAAAGATATAATAAACCTTAATGAATTCAGTACCTTGCTGAAGAATTATTTGATTGAGAATTGTTTTTATAATTTGCAAGAATTTTACGATTCGTAATATGTCAGTGTATCTGACGCTGTTTCTCATACTATGAATTTTGTGTCATGGCTTTATCTGTACTTTGACGATTCCAATACATGTTATCTGTGTGTAATGGAAAATTATTATTATTATTTCACCGTACTGTGCGCTGGTCAGGCCTTATCCCCAAAAGCCCCAATACATTCGGGAGGGCGCGCCAGCATTATCCGGCGACCGACGACCACTCCCCACGCCACGGGGTAAGTGATCATTGGGTCCGAGAATCAAGTGCCCTGAGCAAGCGCAGTCAGCCAAGAATGACAGCCTTCTTCATCTGTCCGGCTAAAATATCTGCCTTACTGCGGCAAGCCGGTATGATTTTAAGATTTGAGAGTTGAGAGGGCATCATTCCACCAAGAACAACCATCTTGACGGAGTGGTATGGATATAGTTTGCGGAGTTGAAAGAGAAAATATCGATATTTTGTCCGTTTTTCCTCTTCTTTTCGGACGATATTTGTCTTTCTTTTAAAAATAATTTTATCAAGATGTAGTCAGTAAAGCCATTATGCTTCAGGGCAAGTACAATATAATTAATATTCGAATTTTTTATAAACTCTTTCTCCGTAACACGCGCGCCAAGAAATATAGAGACTTACATTCATCTTCATAATGTCACTGAATAAATGTTTTATCGTTTGATTTTATATGCATATGTTTGCATTCGATTGTTGCTGCTTTCAATAACTGGATCACCATACTGTATGTTTCGGTTGTTTGTATAACAACGGCAATATCTTAGGGACTGAAACATTGTACATCAAAATATGAAGCTTTTTTTCTGTTTATATCCGGAAGGAGTTGTACTATGTCTCTCTTTGTTAGATTGTCTGACGGAAAATAATCAACTGAGTACCTGCTTGATTATGTCTAGAACAGGATATGCCAGGAATATAAATCGAGCTATAGTGGCCATCACGTAAATTCGATTTACCCCGACATTTTTTTAAATTATTTTATTTGTGTTATGGTGGAATTGACTCTCCATGATGGCTTTATTCCAAACAAATACAATCTGCAGCTATTTAAAACCACAGGCACCACTTTCCAGTCGCCTTTAAAATTTTCCTGCACTACTTCTTCAGTTATACAAAAATTGTATAGTCAACTGAAATTTTATCATCATTTCATTGGTTCTAGAAAAACCACTCAAAAGTTTCAACACTCTGTGACCGTGACGTTTTCATTAATCGATCCTGTTGCTTAGTGCTGGATCACAGATGGTGACTAATCATAGTAGGCAATATTCTCGTATAACGATGAGGTAGGAAGCCAATGACGAATGTCTAAAATTAATTCGTGGGATGTGGGTAAATCAACAAGCAACAACCCTGTTTGTATTTCCCAACTCGTCAGTTAGGGGTTGAGAATCGGGTACGTGTTGTGTTCAACTACTTCGTAGAGTTTCTCTACCTACGTATAAATTGTTTTTGAACGGGGAGAAAACACCAAATTTTGGTGAGTAGTTCTGTGGCGTGAAATAAATTCGATGTTCTATATTGGATGAATATTTTTCCTAGCTGTCCGTTCTCTGTCAACTTCATGGACGATCATTCCATCTGGTTTCAATTTCACTCTCTTCTCCTTTTCCAAAACAAATGACAATTCACTGACATGAATTTCATTTTTTTAGTGATAATGAAATAACAAATATTGCATAGCTGCATAGCTTTCTTTCAATATGAATATTGATTCCAGTTGTTTTGATGTACACTTAATATTAGGATCAACTCGTATCCAGAAAAAATTTACTGGGGGTTTATTATATTCACATCAGTTGTTGGATGTTGGCTAGATAACAAACACATTATTTGAAATAATGAAACAATTTCGAATCAATATGTTTGTTCGAAACTTGTTCATCACCTGTTATGTTGAACTCCTAATTTGTCATTGATCAATATGTTCCGTCCGAAAAGACGGCGATTTTGATGTAACGACTGTACCTCTCATCTCAATTCCATGAAATCGAGAAAGGTTCATGCAGTCAGGCTGCTGGAAAATAATTCCATAAAAATCAAAAGTTAGATAGATGAATACTTTTCTGATTTGTTTGAAGGTGGTCATTAGTTCGGACTAACCTGGTTATGTTGGCCTATTCTATAGATGTCTCTGAAATCCTTAACTTCACAATTCACCTCTAAGATCTCGTTCAGTACCTTCAAAGTTCCGTATGTTGATTCTTGTTCATCTCCTGGTATCCCATAAATTATCAAATTGTATTTCTTTGCTTTGTTTTCAAGGGTTTTTGCCCTCAGCTGAGTACTTTCCTTCTCTAGCTTTTTATTCTGTTCTTTCAGTTCTTATATTTCTTCTGTTATGTCTTGTTTAGTTTGCTTTATTTCATTCATTAGGACATTTCTGCAGTCTTGGATGGCTTCTAATAAACTTTGTAACAAGATATTTTCACTGTGGTTCGGCATGACTCTCATTTACAGGTTGTGTATGTGTTGTTCTCCACGCTGCTTCGAAAGTGACTAGTCGTACCGGCGATGGGTTTGACCGATAGCAGTTAGCTGTGTTTATTGCTCTCCACTTTGGCCACACTGATAAGGTCTATTCGAATTTGTTGCTAAGCGATTTTGAACCTTACTCACTTGTTTTATGAATATTTATTGCTGTAATTTTCCCCTGCGTGTTGTAATCACTACTTCTGACTTTATAAAATATGCACTATCACTTTATTATTGGTTTTTTTCCGTTGTTTATCATATTTTAGTGAAATTTACTGGGTCAAATCGATATTTACCAAGGCGCCAACACTTCACTACAACACGCCACTATGTGGCGTATCTCTACGCTAGTGCCATATTTTTGAATATCAAGCGCCCAACGCTTTTTTCACAATAATACTAGTATATTTCGTTCGTTTCGATATGTTCGATATGGTAAATTAAAAAACACGAAACAAACTTGAATGTGAAAATATTGATTTGAATAGTTATAAAAAAGTGAAACAATCATGTGGAATATTTCAAAATATGTTCGAATCGCTGGCCGTTTACTTCCAAGCACTTCAAAATGCAGGTACTGCAGATTCAGATGCTGCTTTCGTCGTGGCCAATCTGATTTCATTGGGCAAAAGTTCGGGTAATCCTTTCTTACAATTTTTCTCTCAAGCGCACAGTACTATCCAGTACTGCGCTGACTTCTCTTGTAAAATGTGCAGAAGCTCCATCTAATTGGTACTAACATTTTCGATATTCTCGATTATCGATGAAGCTCTTTACCGCAGGGAATCCCTTTTTGCACCTGCGTACATGAATGATTTTCAAGTGAATAATGATATCTTCAACCACATCTGGCATTGGAGATATTTCATTTTCTTCAAAAATTTAGATAAAGTGGGAATGCAGATAAATTACCCTCCTGTATTTGTGAACAAAACAGGATCAATTTTCTCCTGAAGGAGTTTATTCTGTCACTGGTTATGAAGGCTGTTGTGTTTGGTCCCTGAAGTCCCAAGTTCAGTGTGTTAAATTTGTCAAAAATATCGGCTAGATACGCCAATCTTGACAACCATTCTTCATCAGCAAACAATTTTTTTCATGTCATGATTTTTTCATTTAAAAACATGAAAACTTCTGATCTTAGTTCAAAGAGACGGTTCAAAATTTTCCCGCAAGATAACCACCTCACTTCTGTATGCAGGAGTAAAGTTTTGAACTTGCCACCCATTTCTTCACAC